ATACGGAAAGCTCGTTGTCGCACTAAAATATGTAGTATCTTCTCTTGCTCAAGTGAAACTAAATGAAGATATGAAGTGAATCATAAAAGAAACATCTCATCATCGGAATTCTTCAAAAGGGAAAATGTTTCGGGCAAAATTCTTTTCGTGTGATACCTTTGAGCTTCCTTTGACAGATTTAGGGTGGTTAAAAGTATTTTCTTACTCAAAAGCGTGCGCTCATCAGGGGGTTTACACTTCTAATGAAACTACATTCTTCAAAAATTGAGTCATCAATCGATATCCTTTAACGATGTAATGAATAGTGGAACAAGGTGTAATAATGTAATAACATAATATATTGAATATCTTTTCTCTTGATGCTAACAAATAGAATAAATCGAGCTCTCAAAAATTCATTTCGCGTATTGTAAACACAATATATAAAATAGAGATTAAGATAACAAAACGACTAAGACGATGAATAGCCAGTTTCTTCAGGTTACTAACAAATAGTAACTTAACTCATACATTACAAGTTTATAATGACAATTTTATTGTCGTCTAGTCACAGTCTTGTTACAATGGTAAATACTGTAACAATTAACTATACTTTGAATACATATGCTTTTATCGTGCATCTCTTTGTGAAAAATTACATGATTATGAGAAATTACATGATTATAATAAGTACTATTATTTTCTCTCAGAAACTGTTGTAAAGTATAGTTAAAGACGCGTGTAACGACCTATCTTATTTCTGCTGATGATAGACATTGATGAATCCGAAAAAAAGAAATAAATTATTATCTTTACATCATCAAAAATTAAGAGAGAAAAATAAATTTTGAATTAGCCATTTTATCCCTAAAAATATTTTTTGCACCCTTAAAAGATGATCCTGCATTAGTGTTTTTACTTTCCTTTTAACTTTCTTCATTCACACGGGTCGCCATTACAACCAGATACTTTACGCTCGTGATGGCTTATCTAATAAGATAATTTTTATCCTGTCCCATATGCCACTCTCTATCCCATGTGTTTAAGTATCTTCTCTCGTTTCTCCATGAAAGACTGCCCAAATTTATCTATAAATGTCAAAGATAATTCCCAGAACAATTCACGAGATTGTCTTCGCATCTCCTTTCTCACGCTCATCCAAATTATCGAAATTGTTTTTCCGTGCTACATTTTTTATCCTTTTTTTTCTTTTTAAATAAAACAAAGACAAAAGAAACTAGAAATAAACTTCACGAAAGTATAGAACAATTTCGTTCAGATGTAATCTTTAATCTTACATGTTTAAGTG